TACATTAGGTAATTTTTTTTACTAGTACAATATCTAATTTGCATTTTTATTGCAAACATTTTATTTTAAGCTTGCTTCTGTGTATATATCAATATTTGCTTATTTGTCTTCCTTGAAAGCCTGTCTCAGAATCATCCGTTTGTATCTATCTCATATCTATATCTCTGCCTAGGGATCTGCCTTAGATCCCGTACCCCAACCATAACTGGGAACCCCACTAAAAGCTCATTCCCTGAGAGTCCCGTTCCGAGTGACCAACATATCCGTACTCAACAGATCTGCCATGTCAAGGCAAACCTCTCAGGTGAATCCTACACTGACATTTCCTCTTGCCTCCTTGAGCTTCTGGCAAAGAGATCTCTAATAAGACAGAAAGGGGTATTTTATTTTATATACACCTCTACATGCTTATTAACCCCTAGTAAGGACACAGGGGATGGGCGGCAGCATTGTAACATAGCTGTGTGATACAAAAGTGAATAATAAAAAAAAAAGTCCTGCGCTCAAATTTCCATCACTCCTGTGCGGCAGTAACGAACGACCATAGTACACATCAGCCCTAATACATACAGTAAACACCAAAGAAAAAAGTTCCTTATTAGGGGTTAATAAGCATGTAGGGGTGTATATATATAAAAAAAATACCCCTTTCTGTCTCAATAAAGATATCTTTGCCAGAAGCTCAAGGAGTCAAGGTGAAAGGTTAGTGTAGGACCCACCTGAGAGGTTTACCTTGACGTGGCAGGTGGGCTAAACTCTCTCATGGCCATTGGAGATACTAAATAACCTCCATTTGTTTTAATATGCATAGGGATTTGGGAAGAGCATGGGTAACTTTTTTTTTTTTTTTTTTACTAGTTTTTAATGACTGAACAGTTTTACCATGACATGCCGTGGGTGGGGTTGTAAGGGAGGTATTATACCTCTATTATACTAATATGGGGGTCACATTATTGATCCCTATAAGCTTTTTAAAAAAAAAATTGCAGTACTTATTAATAACACCAGGGTTATTCATTAAAAAAGGCGATAAAAAAAAAAGAGTGCTGTTAATGATTGCCATGATGCTGTATAAAATGTATTAATTCATCGGCTTGTACCTGCTATTGTGGCGATACAAGCGTGTGTGTTAAATCTAAGCACTGCAAAAAAAAAAAAAAAAAGCGATAAAAGTACTTTCAATGCAGTCAAATCATTTATCGAGTTTGGATGCTTGAATTTCAGCTGGCATTAAATCCAACCACATTTTATTACAAAAAAATCTGCCAAAAAGGTCAATAATAATCAACTCTTATCTGCAATGGAATTAAATGGCGGTCTTTCCCCCCATCTCAGGTAAGTGCATCAGTAGTTTAGAATATGGACTAGTATAGGCAGGGGCGGGCTGGGATGGGGGGCAGGGAGGCAATTGCCTCCCAGGCCACCCTAAATCATGCTGAAAACGGCCGCTGTCTGTTGGGGAACTGTGAGCTTTGCCGGCCGCTCAGTGCACTGATCGTCCGACACAGCTCACAGATCCCCAGTGCCAAAGGGGGCCTTGGCTGTAATAAAGCTGACAGAGGCACTATGAGCAGAGCCTCTGTTGGAGGAGAGTACACAGCCGCACGGACTTCCACGCATGCTGCCTGATATACTGATCATTGATTTCGTGAGGCTCTACATCAGGTAGGGGAGGTCTTCATTAGCAATGTCTAGGATAGGGTTGGAGTGGGGGAAATTAGGAGAATACCTCTCCAAAGGAGTGGGTTTAGAGGGGATTAGTTTACTATCTATGGGGGAGGGATTGGGGCACTATATATGGGGGAAGGTTTGGGGCACTATATATGGGGGAAGGATCAGGGGCAGTATATATGAAGAGGATTAAAGTACTCTCATATATGGGGAGAGATTGGGGCAGTATATATGGGAAGGATTGGGGCAGTATATATGAAGAGGGATTGGGCACCATATATGGGGAGAGATTGGGGCAGTATATATGGGGAAGCTGGGGCACATATATGAAGAGGGGATTGGGCAAATTCATACAGGGAGAGATTGGGGCAGTATATATGAAGAGGGCCATTGGGGCACTATATGGGGAAGGATTGGGGCATATAAGGAAGAGGGGATTTCAGCACCATATATGGGGAGTTTATTCGGGGCAGCATATATGAAGAGGGGATTGGGGCAACTATATATGGGGAAGGATTGGGGCAACTATATATGGGGGAAGGATTGGGGCACCATATATGGGGAAAGCGATTGGGGGCAATTCATATATGGGGAAGGTTTGGGCACCATATATGGGAAGGACAAGCAGTATATATGAAGAGGGGATTGGGGCACCATATATGGGGAAGGATTGGGGCAAAGGCGAAAGAGGGGGATTGGGGCACTATATATGAAGAGGGGGATTGGGGCACTATATATGGGGGAAGGATTGGGGCAGTATATATGAAGAGGGCGATTGGGGCACTATATATGGGGGAGAGATTGGGGCAGTATATATGAGGAAGGAAATTGGGGCACTCTCTATGAGGAGGGGAATTGGGATACTCTCTATGGGGGAATGGGACTTGGGTACTATTTATGGGGAGGTGGACTGGGGGGTGGAATGTAGTACTATCTATGTGGGAGAGGAGGTGAGTAGGTTACTTCTATTGGGGGGGGCATTGGATACTACCTATGAAAGAGGAGGAACATAGGCTATTAACTATAGGGGGAAGGGAATGGGCTACTTACTACAGAGGGCAGAGACTAGGCTTCTACCTATGGGAAATAGGGGGGACAGACTACAAATTATGGGGCAGTAATGGCCTACTAGCTATTGGAGATGGGAATGGGCTACAGACAATGAGGGATACAAATTCACCACTTCATTCATGCAGACAGCGCCCACCATACACAAAAACACCTTGACCCACTATACACTTATGCACCTTTACGCTCATCTAACCTCCAGACACATCCCTGCATTCTCACACAGACTCTCCACACACACACACGCACACTTCCCTACATTCAAACACATTGACCTGCTCCATATATATGCATCTGTATCCACACAAACTACATACAAATATGGCCCTACATTTACACACACACATAAAACTATCAATACAAATATGCCCCCGCATACACATAAATTAAACTTGTGTACATACCTGAATAAATAAAATTAAAAGATAAATAAAAATACTGTGCACAAGCATTTGAGATGGCTCATAACGTTTCACTCCTGGCTGGCAACTCAACCCCTTTTAATCTGGCTGTCTCTGCCGGTTTTCCTGCCACGGAGGCAGAGTCAGGATCTCTTGGTTGTCACTTGCCTGTGGAGTCAGAGAGAGCGGGAATGGAACGGCCGCTTACTGGCTAACAGGGAGCGAGAGCTGATGCATTCCGGGAGTTGTCGTCCCTGCTAGGGGCTCACTCACGCTCCCGGGGGGCGGGGAGAACCCATCTTTAGCTCAGCAGGAAACTACAACTCCCAGTCTCCCAGTCCTCACACAGACAATCTTCTTGGAGGTTGGAGGCAGAGGATAGGCACTAGTCAGCACCAGCAGAGCAAGGGAGAGACTTGGTGTGACTGGCTGCATTATAAATCCAGGAAAAGGTGGGCATGGTTGGTGAGCTGATTCGGTGGTGCAATGGGCGACTTGACTGGATTTCCCCCCCAGGCCTAAGGTTGCCAGCCCTCCCCAAAGTATAGGCCTGTTCTTTCCACTCTTGTTGCTTTTGGGCTACTTTAAAACAAATAGGTTATATTTATGAGGTCACTTTTTGGAGGTTACTGGTTAGCATCTCTGTAAGCTTTTTACAGTTATTGTTATATACAAGTGAGTGCTGCTGATGGTTATTCTTTTCAAATAATTTTTATTAAAGTTTTAAAATTTTGTATAACAAGCAATAATAATACAAACATTGTATAAGGGGTAGGAAAGGAAGGGGAACTTGGAAATGGGAAGGGGTATCCATCCATCATTGAAATAGGCATAACAATGTACCGTATATACTCGAGTATAAGTCGACCCGAATATAAGCCAAGGCCCCTAATTTTAGCACAAAAAATATAAGCATAGGGTGGGAAATGCAGCAGCTACTGGTAAATTTCTAAATAAAATTAGATCCCAATAAAATTACATTAATCGAATATTTATTTATAGTGTGTGTATATAATGAATGCATTGTGTGTGTGTTTGTGTAGTGTGTGTATATAATGAATGCAGTGTGTGTGTTTGTGTAGTGTGTGTATATAATGAATGCAGTGTGTGTGTTTGCTATATACACACACACAATCTGCATTATATACACACACACACTCATACAAACACACACTGTATTATATACACACACACTCATACATTATATACGCACACACTCTGTGTGTATATTATGCAGAGTGTGTGTTTGTGTAGTGTGTGTGAACTGGATGGGGGGAGGGCATTTTTATTTTTTTAAATTTATTTTTTATTTTAATCTTATTAAAAAAAAATATTTTAATATTATTTACATTTTTTTTATTATTTTATTATTTAATATTTTTTTTGTCCCCCCTCCCTGCTTGTTACCTGACCAGGGAGAGGGCTGTAACATTCCCTGGTGGTCCAGTGGATGGGCTGTGCAGGGGGGCCCGGAGCAAGCTGTTACATACCTTTTGTAGCAGCTCCGGTCAGCTCCCTGTCAGCTCCATGAAAGTTGCCATAATACAGACCTTGACTCGAGTATAAGTCGAGTGGGGCTTTTTCAGCACAAAAAAAAATGTGCTGAAAAACTCGGCTTATACTCGAGTATATACTGTATATGGCAAAAATTTTGTACATCAATGCACTTTAACAATAAATATATCAAAGACCATAAACTTTTTAGATTTTTTCCTCCCATTTATCCCAATTATATTTTAGTATTGGGAAACCATGCATATTGGCTCTGTGTGATAATTCGTGTGCCTTGTTTTCTAGAATCAAATTGAAAACTTCTCTGAGAGATGGCACATTTTGGGACTTCCAGTGTCTAGGTAAACAGGATGTAGCAGCGATCAGAATGTGGCCTATGATTATTTTATCTGCTCTATTAACGGACTCCGGGAGTTTTTTAAATAAGGCTAGTTCCGAAGTTAAAATGCTAATGGTTCTGTCCACTTTAATAATTAGATCATGAATCATTTTCCAATATTTAGTTAATTTAGGGCAGAACCACCAGATATGGGCCATATTGCCCACACCCCCACAGTCTCTCCAACACCGGTCAGAATACATATTGTTCATGTTGTGCAATCTAGACGGAGCCAGGTACCAGCAATATAAAATTTTATAATGATTTTCAAAATGGTTGGTGCAATACGAAATACCTTTTAAAGCTTTAAAAAAAACGAACCATTCTTCTAGGTCGTACTGGGCACCCAACTCCGTCTCCCATGACAGCATATGTTTTAATTTAATTAAGGGCTTGGCATTATAAAACGAATAACATAAGGATATCATACCTTTACTAGAGGGGCTGTATAAAAAAACTTTCTCTAATGGAGATATCTCAAGTGATTTATAGTTTTTATCTGTTTCAGATACCTGGTATAATTCTTTCAATTTGTCAATGATTAGCATACATTCTAGTTCACATACATTTGTTAATCCATACTTAAGCTTAAATTTTTCCAAAGAAAGAATAGCATTGCCATAAAAAAATTATCCAGATTAGTTATAGAGCAATCCTTCAACAGTTCTATTTTTAAGGATGGTATATAATCTTTCAATAACTCAATAGGCATTGCTCTATATAAACTGGGAGACATTGGCGGATCCAGGGGGGGGGCAACGGGGCAATTGCCCCCCCCGAGATTCCCCCCTGCTGGCTAACGCAGGGCTGGCATTGCCCAAGTGCCAGCCCTGCAATGTGCCTGCGGACCGGAGGGGAGATCAGAGCTCTCCCTCCCCGGTCCGCAGGCACTGTGCTGGCGGCCGGCGGTGGAGGGAGGGAGTGAGAGAGAGGACCTGGAGCTCAGTCTGCAGCTCCTCCGGGTCCTCATCTCGCGGGATTTAAAACGTTGCCGCGGTTACCACGGCAACGCTCCAAATCTCGCGAGAGTGAACTCTAGCCTGGGAGCGTGGGCTAGAGTTCACTCTGACCACCTGACCACCAGGGAATCACCACTGGGACCACCAGGGACGGAGAAATGTCCCCCCTCCTGCTCAATAAAGGTAAGAAGGGAGGGGGGACATATTTATTTTATTAATTTTTTTAAAAAAAATTATTAATTATTATTAAAAAGCCTCCTCCCCCCCCATTACACACACTGCCCCATTACAGGGGGGCAGTGTGTGTGTATGGGGATAGTGTTTGTGGGGCAGTATGTGTAATGGGGGGGGAGGAGGAGGTTTTTTTATAATACATTTTTAAAATAAATATTCTGCCCCACAAACACTCTCCCCATACACACATACTGCCACCCATACACACACTGCCCCACAAACACTGTCCCCATACACACACTGCCCCCCAAACACACACTGCCCCCCATACACACACTGCCCCCCATACACACACTGCCCCACAAACACTGTCCCCATACACACACTGCCCCCCAAACACACACTGCCCCACAAACACTGTCCCCATACACACACTGCCCCCCATACACACACTGCCCCACAAACACTGTCCCCATACACACACTGCCCCCCATACACACACTGCCCCACAAACACTGTCCCCATACACAACACTGTCACCCCATACACACACTGCCCCACAAACACTGTCCCCATACACACACTGCCCCACAAACACTGTCCCCATACACACACTGCCCCCAAAACACATGCCCCAAAAACACATACAGTGCCCCCATACATACACTGCCCCCTAACACACACACTACAACCCTGACATACACTGCCGCACTCACACACTTTTACCCTTAACACACACCACTGCTCCTATAGCCTAGATCCCAGGTAAGTTGTTAAACTGTTCTTAAACGGTATGACTACTTACTCTGGGGTGGAATCCTGGCACTATTGACACCATAACTACTACACTGAGCTGTAGTGGTTATTGTGCCTGGATTATTTATTTAAATAATCTACAAGTGCCCCTCCCGAGATCAGGCTCTGGATCCGCCACTGCTGGGAGACTGGTCATTTTTAAAAATAATGTCCCAGGCCTTGAGCGTAGTCTTGGTAGATAAAAATAATTTTGTAATTCTAGGTCTTTTCTTAGGATTTAACCAAGGTAATTCTGACAATCTAACCGGTAAAATTTTTGATTCTTCTATTGCCATCCATCTGGGTTTATTAACCTGGTTATTAAAGCTCACAGCCACTGCAGCATTAGTGGCGAAATAATATTTGCGGATATCGGGTACACCGATACCGCCATTCGATATATAATGCTGCAGGGAAGTGAGCCTTACTCGGGCAGGTTTGTTCCCCCAGATGAACTTCAGCATTGTCGAGTGAACTTTATTAAAAAATTATAATGGGATGGACAGAGGGATGGTCCTAAAAAAATATAACATTTTTGGAAGTATTGTCATTTTAATAGATGCGACTCTCCCCAGCCATGCAAGCTCCATCCCGCCCCATCTCTCCATCTCCTTTTGTAAGTCCGACCATGCTTCCTCAAGTTGTGATTGTGCATATTGACCACATTTTTGGATAAATTAATGCCAAGATATTCCATATAGTCAGTTCTCCAATCAAATAAATATGATTTCTTAAGGGCAGTGGTTTCCAAATTATTTAAATGAAACGGAAGGGACGTTTAATTTGTAGTACAATATCTCGCCAAATTGAGTTAAAATGTCCTTGAGGCCGCCCCGTACCTCCTACACCACACGACAACCCCCACATCACGCTACAAACGCTCCCTGACCATCCGAATCCTTAACGTCGCAAAACACCTAATACCTTTGTACTGGAAAAAAGACACAACCCCAACACTCTCCCTGTGGTTTACTAGAATGGAGGAGTTACGAGTCACAGAGGAGATCTGGTATTCAGCCCAAGACCGAACGCAGACATACTCAGACACATGGACACCCTGGTTGGCACGGGTGGGTACAGAGGCATTTCGGACTATGCAATTGACCAGGGGGGAGGGAACTGATGGTCCCCAGGAGGAGACGCTGAGAGACTAGCGGGACGATCCACACCTGGCCCAAAACGCGATACCTCACCCCCCTATCGGAGCGGGGTGGAGCGCGGGTTCGGGGGACCCGGGGGGCGGCGCGGGGGAGGGCCACGACACCTGCTAGGGTGCGACCACTTGCGGGGCTCGGGGCGTACTGCGGCCTCGCGAGTAAAGGGGGTGGAAGAGTTTTGTGAGCTATAAAGCTCATTAGTTAGGAGGGAGTCGCAGGATGCCCCTTAGGTTATTCCCACCAACACCACCTATGCCGCTGGGCAGAACCAAATTATACTACGGCAGGGGGCCAACACCCCACAATAAGGCCAGGTTGGACCCTGGACACAAGGTCACTGGGGGGCTGCACACCACATGGCCACATGTCTCACTACTGCCTAGAGGCTACTGGGTAGGCATGGGGAATAGACAAACAAAACACAACCACGGTGGGGCATGCAAAACCACCCAACATAGAAATGGTACATATCAAATATAACAGAGCACTAAGCACCACCATGTAACACCGGACCTGCGAGTCCACAATACACATGCTATTTACTCAAGAAAGCGACCTGCGAGTCGCCCAGACACGTATGTCATCACATGCCTTCCGATGTATAAGCTTCTGTGAATGACCAGAGGGACCTGCGAGTCCATGTTTCTCTTTGACATGTTGCAAAATTGACAAAAACGAAAAGGTTTAATAAAAAGATATTTACAAAAAAAAAATGTCCTTGAGGTGTCTCAAAGATTCTTTGGGGGTTTTGACAGCTAGGATTATAGCTGATGGTTATTCTGTCTGTGTCAAGTCTTCCTGGATACTACATTTCTTTACAAACACATTGTCAAGAAATATTTTTTCCTGGGTAAATCCACACCTGTGCACACGGTTTTCAAATGCCTGATTTTAAGTTCATGTTGACATTTGTTCCTATCAAAGTTTGTGGCATTGATTGCTTCGATCAGTGTCTACTAGTGGATAAACTGGCTTCTTTTAGAGAGTGGAAGGTAATTTAACACACACATACAGCTACCCACACTTACACAGGCACTGCTACTCTTTGCTGCTTTTACAAGCCCTCCTCTTACAAACTTCCCAATGCAGCTCAATGAGAAGTCTTTGCAAAGCAGGTGCACTGAGCAATTGCTGCTTCTTGAGTTCCGGAAATAAGCTAACCAAACCAGGAAGTATCAGGAGCTGTTGACTGCTTGAAAAACCAGGGGGGTGTAACCAGTATAATTTATAAAAGTGTAATTTTCTATTGAAAAACCAGGGGGGTGCTTTAGGGGTCTGGAGTGTCCATTTAAGTTACCTTGTAAGATTTAAAATGGTAGTTTTTGGGAGTGACTCTGTACTGTCCCTTAATCTGTATTTTGTATATAATTTGGTCTTAATAGCAGCCCACTGCTGAGAAATGTATGTTCTGAGTGTACCCTCCAACCCCCCTATTTTCTTACTCACACTGTTACAAATACACGCCACTGCACACACACACACAACCAACCAACACAAACACACCCTGACACATATATATATACACAAATATTTAAATGCTCCAGGACTTCACATAAGTAGATAAAACGTAACATTTATTGAAGAAAGTAAAAATATCCCATTGTGGAGGCAAAATACAGCACATCCTCGACTGGCATTTAGTAATACAAAGCCCAAAAAGTGTTCCACCTTATGCATTTTGTGTGTAACCATATCTAATCATAGGCATAGGTGTAGTCATGTAGGTCATCCTCTTAAATAGGGAAAACACTTAATGTATTTAACTCTCTAATTCCTGAAAACACAGAATGCTAGGTAGTGGCAACATTCTTCCTGTACCCGCTCAACATGGGGACACCTAAAGGAAACATTGTACATTATCTTGGAAGAGAAGAATATCTGCAATAACAATAGCATAATAAAAACATGTGCAAATTTATTTTTCAAAACATAAATAAAATAATGAAGCAACAATCGCCAAAACAAGATAAAAAAAAAAATAGAATAGTCAAACAGCGTGGGATACACCAATACGAAAATAGACACAAAAATTATAATGATAAACTGAGAAAACTATAAGACAAAAGCCAAAAAGAATATAGAATAATAGAATATA